GCAGGGAGCCTGATGCGGGGCTCGATCCCAGGACCCTGGGATCATGACCTGAGCTGAAGGCAGACGCTTAACGACTGAGCCACCCAGGCGCCCCTATATATTCAGTTTCTAAAGTACTTTAGGTACTATATACAGCCAATTAAACAACTGATTAGTGTCAGATGTTAATGAAGCTAAATAAATGCAACCAGAAAGTGGGTAACAGGCTTTGCCCTATATTTCCTTTACCGTTATCCTTTACCGTATGCAACTTATATAACACCCACCAACCAGCTATCTCGTAAGTTGTAAAAGGGATAAGAAGAAACATGTAGACTGGTCAGTGAAAATCCAAACCCACAACTGAAAAAAAAAAAAACCAAAAACATGCTCAAATGAAATGGGTCAGTAGCATTCCACTGCCCAAACAGCAGGACAGTGTTTCAATTTAACAGCCTAGAAACCACAGTGCGTTTCTTACCCATGTTAACAAATTTGGCCAAATCAACGTTACTACATCACTTCCAAATGACAAGATATGTAGTTCAGCTCATCTTCTCATTTCCTCTAAGTAAAACTTAGCAAAGGCAGAAAGTAAACCAGTTCCATGCCATTTTTCTCAGCACAACAGTTGTTTTATTTCTCTATTCTTGTTTAAAAACCAAACAAGATCCTAATGACAGATTTTTAAACCTTTCTGCCTCCTTTTAATAGTTAAGTCAATAGCATTTGTTTTGGATACAAAGACCAGATTAGTCAAAGACCAAAGGAAAAAAAAAATCAATGTATCTATAATTATCTAGAAAATACTATAAACATAAAGTTAATTGCTGTAATTTAGTGGCAATGATTTAAAACAACGCAATTTAAAATTTGAGTGTAAACCAAAATAGTTGGTTTGAATGGGGAAGAAAATGGTGTGAGCTCCTCCATTTAAATATTAAATTATCCAAGTAAAATGTCTATTATTTGGAATCTAAGCAGATACTCAATATTGTTGATACAAATATAAAACAAACACACCCTGTCTTAAGCAAACCTGATGTATGGAAAATTCAGGCTTACTAAAGACAAACAAAAGACTATAAATTATTGGTGATAATTGCTTACTTTTATAAAAGAAATAACTTTTTAGAAAAGCCTTACCATATATACATAAAATGGACTATTATTGAGTTAAAAGAGAAGGAAATCCTGTCAAATGCTACAACAAGTGAGGCTGGAGGAATAAGTAACACTAAAAACTGTTATAAGTCAATAAAATCCTATTACATTCCTGTAACAATGCATCAGGGTGAGGCTTTTCCTGTCAATTTTCAATATGTGAGTCACAGAACATGACCAACTATCTACTAAAAAAACATATGAGCTATACTGAGTCAGAATATAAGGTTCTTCCTTATTACTATTTATTTTCATCAGATTTTGCTTCTGAAATATTTACCTCAATGGAACTGGCTATATTCAAACATTCTTCCATTCCAGGAATATCCAACTGAATTATTCGAAAATCTTTACATTTTATGATGATGGTACCCAGTGGTCCTACAAACCTGTAAAAAATTACAAATTATGCTTAGGAACATATATATTTCTATCTTTAAACATATGATTATTTCCAAATAATAATAAAAATAGATAAATCTTTCTTTTTCAATAAAAAAAGAATGTAATTGTAATTACCATCTATATTCAACTTTCTTCTCCCCAATTAGTCTAATTAAGGAAGAGTCAAGACTGTGTTATTAAAATGTGAGCCATAAATTACATTAAATACATATACTTAAAAATTTTCAAATTCATAAAGTAATTTGTACTAGGCCAACTCTTTTAATGAAGATTATTTGGGGCCTTACTTCATAGAGAAAAAAAAATCTGTAATTAATGTGTTAAGTGTTCATATAGCATAGGAAAATACTTCATTTCAGATTTTACTTACTTCTAAGCTTGTAGTAGTTGATTTTAAATATAAGTATCTCTTTTTCAGTCTTTAAAAACTATGAACTTACAATATCTATTCTAAATCAATGCCATATCTACTCATAAAAAAGTTTTGTATTGGTAAATTTTGTACAAATGTAATTTTACCTTAATTGGAATTTTTGTCTTCCTTTTATTACTGTTGTTTTGTCTATACTTGCTGACAGCTCTGAGTTTTCTTTTGCTTTGCCACTGGTTGGCTCCTTTCTTTTCCATTAATACTTCTGAGTATTCCCTAAACTAGGAATTCTTAGATTGACCAAATGCTATTCATTTTACTTACATTTTGCCCAGTTTAGAAAGACAACTCCTACAGCTACTCTTCCTGAGCTCCATCTCAAATTGAGTTAAGCATCCCTATGCCTCACATCACTGCATTGTTAATTTGGACAGGCAAACATTATCAGCATGGGTCAAATCCTACTAAAGATAATTCTACCAGACATCCACAACCTATCAACACATTGGAATGTCTCTTATAAAATTTATTCGGAAAACTCACACTCTTGGCACTTCTACTTCTGGCAAAGGTAGAACAACAGGGACCATATTTACCCTCCCACCTGAAACAACCAAAATTAACTGGACAAAATATAAAAAAGAACTGTTTTTAAGACACTGGACATCAAGCAACAAAGAACAGAGATCTCTGGGAGATGGGAAACAGGTGAATCTTACAATTACCCCAGTTTATGGTTTTGAGAATTTCTAGGCTACAGGAGGGGGAACCTGGAGGGGGGCTTATAGTCTGAGGAGAGCATCTATATTAAAAAAGAAAGTTTCATATTAGTGACTTCAGATTCCACTATGCTGAAAAAAGAAGAGCAAGTCAAATTCAAAGCAGAAGAAATTAAATAAAGATCAGAACCAAAATCAATGAAATAGAAAAAAGGAAATTATAGGGAATAATAAAAGCAATGATGATTGCTTGAAAATAATAAAAGCAATAAAGCATTAGCTGAAGTGATCAGGAAAAAAGAAAGTCAGTCTCAATTTACCAATATCAGAAATGAGGGAAATGAGAATCACTACAGATTGTATGGCATTAAAAAAATAAGGAGGGGCACCTGGGTGGCTCAGTCGTTAAGCGTCTGACTTCGGCTCAGGTCATGATCCCAGGGTCCTGGGATCGAGCC